CTCTGTAATGGGTGATCTGAATCTTAAATACAATTTGAATTTACCTTTGTTTATTAGAGGGTTCTTCCACATGGAAAATTCTCAAAACTTGTAAAATGCGTGAGTGCAAGCTTCATAAGAGCTTTGCGTCAAAAAATTTCTTTTTAAGACGAGGTGGCAAGTCCATTGGAAATTTCGCACAGCTTTTAGTGCAAGAAGGACGTGGACCTGCTTGAGCAGGTCCAGAGGAGGCCACAGAGATGATCAGGGCCTGGAACACCTCTCCTATGAGGACAAGCTGAGAGAACTGGGGTTGTTCAGCCTGGAGAAGGCTCTAGGGAGACCTTATTGCAGTTTTCCAGTACTTAAAGGGGGCCTATAAGAAAGATGGGGGCAATCCTTTTAGCAGGGCCTGTTGCAATAGGACAAGGAGTAATGGTTTTAAACTAAAAGAGGGTAGATTTAGACTAGATATAAGGAAGAAATTTTTTACCACTAGGATGGTGAAACACTGGAACAGGTTGCCCTGAGAAGCTCTGGATGCCCCATCCTTGGAAACATTCCAGGCCAGATTGGACAGGTCTCTGAGCAACCTGATCCAGCTAAAGGTGTCCCTGCTCACTGCAGGGGGGTTGGACTAGATGGCCTTTAAAGGTCCCTTCCAACTCAAACTACTCAGTGATTTTACGAAAAGCTAAGCCACCACTGTGTTCTTTCTTTTTCCCTATGTAGATACAGCTCTGCCAGCTCCTGGGAAGGAAACAGTCTCCCAGGAGGAGTATGCGATGGCTATCAGGAAAGCACAAGACTCCTGAGAGATAAGATGGCAGTGAGATGTTGTTTCGGTAGTACTAAGGTGTGCGTGCAGGCATAGGGACTATTCACCAGTCTCTGGCTGACCTTCACTCCTCTGTTTGTGGCACATCCATTCTGTTGTAGTCAACCTTGCCTCCTTTTAAAAAAAGGGTCTTTTGTGTGCTTATTAACACTATTAGCACTGGCTGTTTCTAATTCTGGATAATAATTGAGAAACTCTAATTACTGTAATTACTATGCTCCTGGGGAGAGGTTTTATTTTTTATAATTATTTCTAGTGATTTTTTTGGTAAATACTTTGTTATATTAAAAGCATGACAGACATGAGTCCTTGCAGTGCATTTATATATCAACCACCTCCACTGAATTTCATCAGTGCATTTCACCATTTATTAATCAGATATTACTAAATTTCTTCTGCCTCAAGCAAAAACAAGGAGTGGGAGAGAAAGTGACTACTGACAAATGAAAAATGATGTGACATGCCAAGTTTGATTCTGCCAACCAAGTATTAGTACAAGGCCAACAAGAGCAAAGATGGAGGTGACAGCTAGATGGCACAATTGAATATATTCTAAATCTTACCAACATAACTCTTCAAGGGGGAAAGAAATGTTTCAATGTGTGCAAACATTGAAACACTTCAAGAAGCAACCTGAGACTTTGGCCAATACATAAAGACCTTGATCTAGTTCCCATTGCTTTCCACAGAAGGATCCATCTCTTGTCTTTTGGAGTCTGTACTCCAGAGCAGTCTCTTGGAGTGTGCAAGACATTCTCTTGTGTCTACTTTCTGATCACCCCTACACTGGTGGGATAAAAAGTTTTGTTTCTTCTAGAATAATCTACCAGATTATGCTGTCTGTCAGGAAAATACGTTGTCTGAAATTACACTAATATCTTCAGTTGCTCTGCCACTTACAAACACGAGCATGGAGGCCTCTCGCATTAATTTAATCCAAAAGATATTATTTTGAAATAGCTCGTGGTCACACTGATATATTTATATGAGTCTTGATTTTGCTTTTTAACTGTTAGTGTGTGGTCTGGAAAATTCTGATTCTTGTATTAAAATGTATGTATATTATACCATTAATTACTTGTCATTCCCTTTTTGTGAACTTCATTGTGAGTGGAAAGTTGCTGACCCCAGCATGAAGAAGACGGAGCCTTTTTTTCAAGGCTGCTTCAAAGGGTGCTTATTTTGCTTAGTTTTTTTGGAAAAGTTCTTGTGTCAACCTATGCCAATCTTAACTAAAACCCACTTCATCATCCGTTATCAAAGAACTGTTCATGTAACTCGGCAGTGATTTTTCTAAATGACTGTGAGACCTCATTTAGATTTTTAATAAACAGTCACATTCTAATGAGGTCTTCATAAAACTGACTAAATATGTTTAGAAATCATTAGCTTAAATTACCAGTACAAAAGTCTCCTTAGGGAGCCCTGCAGATTTTGTGATAAGACTTCTGGCAGATGGATTAGTATAACAGCACAAGTGAGTTCTGAATTTCCACACAAGCCGTGTAAATGTGAGTGACTGGGTAACAGGCTACTAGATAAAGAGCTAAATGTCCCTCAGGTGGGTTCATTAAAGAGAGAAAACAATCAAAACACATTTCTGTGCCATTTAAATACCAGGTGCACAGCAGTCTGCAGGTGCCAGAAACACTGACAAGGGTCCCTTGCTGGAACACACAAGAGCTTAAAGGGATGCATGGTTTTGACAAGTGTGCCTCAGATAATGACAGATATTGGCAGATGTACCCGGACCCTGCTGGAGGGTAATGCAGGGACTGAGTCATTTGCAGCAGGTGCTTGCATTAGGGACAGCCTCATGGTGATTCCTCCAACCGCAATTAAAACAGTCCTGATGCATAATGCTCCAGGGCAAGAAGCAAGTTCCTAGCACTGATTTAATGACTACCCAGCCAGTCCTGGTAAACAAATACACATACGCCCCCTCAATGATTAATTCATAAAGGACATATACTGTGTAGCAAACGTTATATAGATATTCCTCTTTCCTGAAAATACAAAGGAATTTTCCTCCTCGGCTTACAATGGGTCAAGAGGGTTAAAAAATAATAATAATAAACCCCTACAAATCTTATACCAGCAAAAGTAATTGAAATAGAAAACCTCAAGGCTGGGAAGGTGACAAGGTTTGCCCTTCAGGAATGCTACCAAAAGGTCCATTAAAATCATTACTAATCAAGGTGGCACAGAGCTTGTGTTAGGGGTTGCAGGACAGATGGTGTGTTTATAACATGCCTCCTTGTTGCTGATGGTTCCAGCTCTGGGAGCGGGACAGAAGCACCAAGGGAGGAGTGACTGCATTGCTCTGTGGCTCGTACGATCTCATTTCCATTAGAAGCCCACTTCAATTTATGCTCTCTGATCTCACCTATGCTGGCCTCCAGAGAAAGTGAGAACAAAGTCATTTTACCACTGCCAGGGACAAAAAAGCCACAGATCTGTATCCCACTAGGAATCTTGCACCCTGACGAAATCTCCATGGTGGCACAAACTGTTGCTTGCTGCTAAGGGAACGTGCTGCATACCTAAATGTTGTGAGCTGAGGCTGCCAACACTGGCACCAAGACCAGCGTCTCCCTGGCTGATACCTGACAGTTCACTCTAATTGACGCTTTCAAATACTGACTTTAGGAAAACAGTATGTGGTTTCATGCAGTATGCTACTTTTGTTCTAAGGCTTGTTTATCCATAGCCTGAAAACCCCCCTTTTTAAGCTGTTGTGCTTGGGTACTTACGAATGCGTATAAAGCTTTAACGAAGAGGTTTGCTGGAGAGCTTCCTATTCTTATAAATCTATCAGTTTTGAATTGATATGTGACCATCCAACTATTTCTGCATTCTTCCTCACTCAAGGGACTGAATTTTTAAAGCGGCCTTCATGATCCCTTTTTGTCTCCGCAATTAGTTGTACATGTGTTCGTGCAGCAGGTGTTAATTACAGTCACAAATCCCACCTTTTTTTTTAATCTAAAAATAATACTGGCACACGATTTGGTGGCAGGCTTGGGCACACAGATATCTAAACGTTAGGATTTATATTAACAGTTGACAAAGGACCTAAGAAGAGTGTAAAACTGGACTTGCTAAAAAGGAAATAAGATCTGACACTTTGGCTCACACCACATAAACAGTGCTCTCTCTCCTCATGCAAATGCCACAGGGAAGAGGGGTATCAGCCACTCCATCAGCATGAAATTAAAAACACGTCTTGAAACCATGTGGCTCACACCAAGATATGTGCACTTGAGTTCTTATTTCAACACTTCAATTTACAATAATTGCAGTAGTTGCAATAAAAGCAGTGGGTTTTTTTTCATTCCAAGTGAAAGCTATATGCCCAGCTCCCAAGCAAATATTCTTGAAAAAAACATCCCAGATGAGAACTAAGACACCAGTGCATAAACAAAGCAGTAAATTAAGTCTCAGTTATTGATGTTGTGAGAAACAAAGAAAATGTTTCCATTCAATACCTGCTGAAAACAAAATTAGCCATAATGACTTGGGTAGGAGGCCTACTTCAGAAGTTATCAAGGAAAGAAAGAAAAGTACACGGTATCAACCAGGTAACTCAAGCTTTCCTTTACTCCTTAGCTCCTGAAGATGACCTGGTCAACAAATTTAGTATACAAAGAAGTAAAGCTTATTTTTTGTCTTTTAGTCTGGAAGGCTTATAGGAAAGAAAAATCCAAACAATCCAGGTTGATTTAGACTAACATACTGTGAAGAAGGTGCAGTTTCACAGTTTAACTACTTTTCCAGAAAAATGTTTCAGAACTACTCCCCCTCAGTCTTCGTTAAAAAAAAAAAAAAAAAAAAAAGATGACTCCATACCTTGTTCTGTAACCAAGTCCCTGGTTTCCCTTAATAGCAACGGTATGTCTGAGATACATACAAAGATATGAAGCTTTCCTTCTTTGGCAGTCTTTGCAGGCTGTGCTGTGCAGAACGCGTCTTTATCAGTTACTTTTTCATTGTGCCAATGTTATCAAAGCCAAGCATCCAAGGCATGTTTAAAAATAATTGATAATGAACCTCTTAGCATAGGCAGTCATAAATATTTTATGTGCTATACTCAGTATAAAAGTATCTTGTTGGTCTGCTATTTAATTTCCAAAAGCAAACATCTTGGAAGTCTTTCATCTTTTTAAGTACAAAAATCACTTACCCTTCCCACTTCTACCAGATTAGTAACCATGATTATGCTGGCTGTGTTTTCATGCCACACCATTCTCCAAAAGTCATATATTGTCTCCTGCATTGGTCCTGAAACAATAAATCAAATGAAAGGTTACTATCTGAAAGTCTCATGACTGGAAGCTTGTCTCTGGGGAACTTTGAGAAACCGTGACTATACACATATATTCATATCACTATCATCATATTTTTCATTTAGGGTCAATTTCTTTTCTGTCATGCCACCTATCTGCATTTAAGTATTTTTCCCCTGAAATAGTGCTCTGAAAGAAAGTTAGTTCTCCAGCATTTAGGTATTTATCTCTGTAATACCCAGAAGTGGAATTATAAAAAATGGATAACATTACTCTTTCTCTTAACAATTGGATGATAACCTAGGGAAGGTGTATTTGGAATGAAATGAGCCTCAATGGACTATGTGGCCTTTCCTGGTTTCTAATATTTTTCTTAGTATACACTATCCATCAAATTACCCCAGCTCCTAAATCGTACTTCCTGAAGTGAGACAGAAGTTATAGTTTTTTGCTGCAGTATATCACTTTGCAAAACAGCGGGGAAAGCAGTACAGAAGCCCGGCATGCCACGGCAGCCATGTCCTCTGCAGTGCTTTCCCCAACAACCTGTGTGCTTTTGTAGAGGAACACACAGGCCCTCCTCTAGCATCATGCTAAAGCTGGGCACCAGCCCACAGGAAACGCTACCGAAACGTACCATGTTGGGAACACCACACCACTTTGGGTAGGCCTGCCCCTGGCCGTTTCTAGCCTACATGTCCTACCCACGACGTTCGGTGTGCCACCCCAATTTTAAACCACTGCTTTAAAATCACTGAGCCAGTAAGAACAAACAAATGTAAAATACTATCAGCTACTATAAACTTAACATCCGTACTGAATCCATTACTGAACTGCCACACTGCAGTGGATTATTTAGAGGAGTGCCTTAAATGAGCTAACTGGAGGATGAATGGATAATGTATTGGCTTAAATGTTCCTCTAGTGAAGAAAGCAACACTCAAAGCATTACAAAACCATACATTGACAGATTTGGGTAGTTTGATGCCCATGCTTCGGTACTTTGAGCTCCCTTTGAAAATAAAATTTTCACTCTGAAAGTAAAGTACCCAGTGAAAAATGTAGTAATACATTATTACTATATCATAATGGAAGGCGGGTTGGACTAGATGATCTTTGAAGGTCCTTTCCAACCCAAACCATTCTGTGATTCTATGACATTATAGGCAAATCAAAATGAACTCACTAGGCAAATAACATCACAGTTATGACAACTTACTTAGAACTCAAGTTTAAGAGAAACAATAGTAATAGTCTAAAACTTTTGATTTTTAAAAAATTTTATTTTAATTTTCAGCAATTTCAAAGGATAATTTTATCATGCATAATTTGCATAGACCATTTAAAGAAGTTATGTATTCTCCCCCTTACTTTCTCTGCTATTAAAAATGCTGCATATATAGTCAGTTCCACAGGTTTCCCTATAGTCACTCAATTCATCTTTTACTTGCTTTGGTAGTTCATATAACAGGAGAAAAAGCCGTTTAAAATAACAAGAAGCTATAACTGTTAGAACACAAGAAATGTCAGAAGGTCTCAGAGCAGAATCTAAAACTACAGTTTCTGAAATCACCAAATTCAAGCTGATGCTATGGCCGCAAAACCAGACACCTTTTCTTTTTTCTTTACATTTACAGCATAGAATGGTTGATACTTTTGTGAGATTTCATTCCAAAGTATGACAAGAGTTAAATCACTATCGACCATATGGAAATTTACAATAAGTATTTTACTTCTACATAAGTATCCCGGAAATGCAATACAGACATGGTCCAAATGCAATTTTGAATGTCACAGTAGGATAATTAATATACACTATAGTGAAAGTTTAGCTTGCTTGTGTTTTAATAACATAGGATTCAGTATAGCTTTTTGAGCAATTAAAGTCACAATAGCATTACAAAGGTTTTGGGCCAAGCTCTCCTACTGGTAAAAGCAAGGAGACTATTTTACTCACTGTGGGAAAACACTATCTCTGTATAGCTACTTCCTTCCTCTCAAATCTCAAACAAATACTCAGCAAAATTAATATTGCTATCATCTTTGATGGAGTGTAGGTAAAAATAGGGCTAGGGAAAGGCAGTTTTCCACCAAGTAGCATCCTGGGAAGAGTCTGCAAGTTCATGACACATTATTAAGATTATTTAAGCTTGATCAAGGACAAAAAATAACAACACTATTGCTTCAAGAATCCTGATTCTCAACCTGGTTAACGGAGAAAATCCAAATGGTTCCACTGGATTCTGTCACCACAGGATTATGTGATGTTTCAAGACTGTTCATCTGAATATCTTCTCAGCAAAGCTATAGGAAAGGTGAGAAAAGATCCTCTGTCTACATAGCCCTCTCTTCCCCTTGCAAGAAGTCAGAGTCATTGAGAAACTCAGGATCAATGTAGCAAGTTTCTTTATATACCAGTTCAGTTTTCTTTCCTACAGATTCACCACAGATACAAGATGGTTGGGCCCTACTTTGTAATAGTCACTTCTTTTTGACAGCTCTGGTATAACCTGCAACAATTTATTCCTGACTTTTTTTTTTTCTACAGACAGTATAATTTCTCTCATGATTTGAGGAATCCTACATTTAAGATCCTGAAATCACAAATTATAGCTGGTGAGAGATCCTAAACACTAATTTCTTCCTAAAGATTTTGAATTTGTCATTCTTTATAAAGAAAAAAGATAATAAATTATGAGAAAAATAAATCTTTAGAAAAAGTAATACCATTATTCAGGCCAGAGAAAGAGCTGAGCTCTGACAAGTCTTTCAAGCTTGATTCCAAATGTTGTTCTAGAAAAAATGTCCTATTCCGCAGTGCTGAGTACGCTCTTCTCAATCTTACTATCCAAATGATAAGACAATCATAATTAGAAGTGCTTGACAGGATTTCCTGCTTTCCTTAAGTATTCTCAAGTGTTTTCTTGCTTTTCCTCTCAAATTCTTACATGTAGCCTCCAAACCTCTTTCATGTTCAGGACACTAAAAGGAAAGAAACTATCCAAAAACCTGCCTTACAGTGTCAGAAATAAAATTCTTTTCTACCCCATTTTTCTTTTCTTCTTGACATTTTCCAAATTATTTTCTGACATATGAATAAATTATTACTTGTCTCCAGCCAGAATTGAAAAGCATTAGGGGCTAGGTAGGGTTGGAGGATTTATTGTCATGAAGAACTGAACAATTTCATTCCAGAGACTCGTGGTAGGGAGAGAAAGAGCCTATAATTGTTCTAAGCACCGACTCAACAGATGTGTGCACAACAGGCAGGAGGGTTACTCTCAGCAGCTGCCCCCTTGCGGGAGGAGAAGGTCTGAAGAGAAGGTACTGTGCTGCCTAACAGTAAGCCCGCAGCATACCCCATTAGCTACACAATATAGTAGTTGGTATCAAAGATTTCTGCTGTGAAAAAAAGGAAATCAACAACTTACTGCACCCAGAAGATGAAAAGCAAAGGAAAATAAGAAAAAGAAATCAACCCTCCAAACCCCAAGCTAATTAAATGCATTATTGAAAAAATTCAACAACAGAAACGTATGAATCACAACCATTAGTCGTATTACCAGTAGTTGTTAGTTGCTGCTCTGGGAATGCAGACATACTAGGAAATGGAAGATCACACAGCTTTGAAGGATGGTTTAAACTCTTCAGAAGCTGCTTCTGTACACAGAGCTTTCTAAAGCCTCTATTCCTGCCTGTTATTGTGAGACACAGTTCCAACAACTGGTATTGCTACTGGGCTATATGATCAATTTGAACGTGATACACTAGCCCACAATACAGGAAAAAGTGCCCAGATGTAGCAAGGAGAGCAAACACAAAGAAACAAGTAAAATCCGAATCCTGAAATGTCCCCAGCACTTACTCAGATGAGACTTTAAATCTATGGGTCATTTTTCAAGTTCTAGATAAGCAAGCAGCTTAAACAAGAAACAAATAGCTTCTAAAACCTTTTTCTAGTGTAGAATGTCAAATCCACAAGCTAATGCTTGCTCCACCTGAGACCAATTTCAATGACAGATATTAAAGCTAGAAACGTGAAGAAAATGAACAGATACCTTTAAGCTCCAAAGGCTCCCCAGGGACAGTGCATGGGCAGTGAGAGCCGTTAGCATGGGTTGATGGAGGCCCCAGACTGACAAAATGCAAGACGTATATCTGCAGCGGTGAAATTCCATCTTGAAAAGAGTGCAATAAACCTCCTTCCAGTGAGTAGATGCATCTACCCCACGTGAGGAGGTGGTTATAAAATGGTCCCCTCACCTAATGGTTACTGCAGTTTCTAGTAGCAATGATAACTGTCTTCACGTTTTACTGAAGCAAAACTTGCTGCTTGCTACTGTGACTGCCTACAATTTAACCACTCAAGGACAAGTAGCTAATATGTCTGCATAGGAGGAGCTGCATTTTAGCCCTCATTCTTTACTCTGTATGATCCCTTCAAAATGAACCCAAGATACAGTAAATGTTTTCTTATTGACAGATACAGATGCCTGGCAAAAAAAAGCCAAAAAGCAATGATTCCCTTTGCAACTACACTGTCAAAAAACCCAAACCCATTATGTAGCAGAAATTGTTCAAACTACACATGAAAGCACAAAAACAGATATGAAAAAGAAAATTGCTGGGAGAAAAGACTATAAGCTGATAGATTAAAAAGTTACAGAATTCTCCTTTTCCTAATGAGCCTCTTAAATGGGACAAACTAGCTGTTAGCAGGATAACTTACAGAGAATTTCACAGGAGGAAGCAAAATTACAGGGTTTCTAATGCTCTGCCAGTCAACCATGCTAGAATTCAGAGGTAAGAACAAAACATTCTTTCAGAAAAAGTTATGCAAAAACCTGCAGGTAAATCATAGAATAGTTTGAGTTGGAAGGGACCTTTAAAGGTCATCTAGTCCAACCCCAAATGTTACTTTAAACTATAAATATCACTGACTGCAGGCAAGTGAACACCTCCCTTAACTGAAATACATTTTTTCCCTACTCAATA